CATCTCTTGCCTTATTTGGGTAGAATATTCTATTGAATGTCTTTTCCCCAATAAATTCAAAGGAAGCAGAAAATAATAAAAGCATCATTAATGAAACAGAAAATAAACAGTAGAAAGAAAACAAGACAAAGTTTTGTACTTTGAAAAGACAATTAGCAAACTCTAAACTGGACTAATCCAATAAAAACAAGACTGTAGACAAATAACAAATACACAAAATGAAAGAGAGCTTATCTTCATTGCTCCAATAGACACCAATAGGAAGTTAAAGACTACTATGACACCTTCATGTTAATTTAGATAAATACAGTACTTGAAAAAATTTCATTGAAAAAACTGTTTCAAAGGAAAGGAGATAAAATAGCATAACTAATGAATTGGTTATTAATGAACAAATAAATTAACCAGTACTGAATCCTGGATCAGGGTTAAAATTGTTAGCTCTCCGTTGATATCACAAAATAACTGAGATAATCAATTTAAAAGGGGAAAAGATTTTATTTTGGCTTATGGTTTCAGAGGTATGAGTCCATGGTCAGTTGGCTCTTTTGTTTATGAACCTATGGTGAGGTAGAATATAGCCAGGAAGCAGAGAAGGGGCTGGATTCCTAACATCTCCTTCAAGCACACACCTCCAGTGGACCTAACTTTCTTACACTAGTCCCTGCATCCTAAAGGTTCCACAAATTCCCAACAGTACCAAAAGCTAGCAACCAAGCATTCAATACATGGCCTTTGGGGGACATTTAAGATCTAAGCTGTAACAAATTGCTATAAAGGTCATTACTGGGACATTGTAAAATTTCAATGTGGATGATGTCTGACTACTGTTTAATCAGTATTAAATATTTTTAATTTGATATTTCATGATGGAAAAAAGCTGCCGAGTTCTGTAAAATTCTACATCAGAATTCTGTGGAATCCAAAGTTAGAAACTACTTGTAAATTTGCAACTCATTCAAGTAAAAACTAGTACTTTTGTACTGTGAAATAAGCAAATGAAAAAATGAATGATAGGAAAATAATTTTGGCTAAGACTAAGTTCATGCATTTTTAAGCTACCTACTATCTTGTACTTTAGGATTCACAGAATACCTGCTAATGGGATTAAGAGTCACAGAACCAGGGATCAAGTTGTCCATGCCTAGGTTAGGGTCAAGAAATTTAGTATCTATTTCTGAGTAGGTAAAGAAATAGCTTTTGAGTAGAAAGAAATTTTATGGCGGACCAATTCTTAAAAAGCTAGAAAAGCCAGATTTTTAAAAATTCATAAAAAAATAAAAATCGGGATAATTTAAATATGCAATAATAGACAATTGGTTGAATAATATCCAAGTATAAAATAATATGCTATTAACATATTAAAAAAACCTTTTTTTTCTTAAAGACTATTTAATGCTAAGGGGAAAAGCCCATAATGTGAAGGAAGAGTGAAGGACATGATGCTACAGGAATTATAAAATACATGAAATAGTTAGGTCCTCCACTTTGAAAATCAGCACCTGCCATCTTAAGAAGCCTGCCCAGGCATGACTATCAAAATCACAACAAAGATGCCAAGTAACAATCAAAGGACCCGATGGGTCACTTCTTAACTACTTCATTGCACTTGACTATATAGTTAAGAAGTTTTTTGCAACAGCTTACAGGATAGCCTGGCAGATATTCTCTGTCAATAAACCTTTGCTTGACTCAGAGGTGTGTGTCACGTAGATATTTGCACCAGCTACCCTAACAAATATTTATTTTTCCATTTGGAAATATGCCATAATGTTAAATGATTATCTGAGTAGAGGACAGTGACAATTTTTTTTGTTGTTTTTCCCAATTTTCTAAAAAAATACACTACTGTCACCAGCTGGCTCTTCATTTTCTAGTATTTGGAGGTAATGTGTTAGGCCATTGATTTTAGACTTTTATAATTCTCAAATATAGGCCATTAAAATTACAAACTTCCCCTTTTCAACTTTAGCTTTATCGTGACTTTTTATATTGTATCATTTTCATTTATTTTGATATATTTTATAATTTCCAGTGTGATTTCTTCTGTGACCCATGGATTATTAGAACATGTTTAATTTTCAAACATTAGAGGATTTTCTAGGCATTTTATTGTTATTTCAGATGTCATTGTAGTCAAAAGATATGCTGAATGATTTCAACATTTTACTTTCATTCAGATTCATTTTATGGCCCAACTTATGACATGTCTTATTGTATTACTACCTGTGCTTGAAGGTGTTGGGTTTACTGTTCTGTGAATAGCAAGCAATTAGGTCAAGATTGTTGCTAGTATTATTTAAATATATGCCTTTAATGAATTTTGTCAAGTTATTTTTTCAGTTACTGAAAAAGATATGCTAAAAATTTTAGCTAATTGCTTGAAAAATTGTCTGTTACTTTAATTTTGTTAGTTTTTTGGTTCATGTATTTGAAATCCATTACAAGATCTTAAGATTTTTATCATCTTGTCACATGAAATTTTAATATTTATGATCATATCATTATCTTTTGTCTCTAAAAAAGTCCACTTGGTCTTGAAATCTACTTACTCTGACATTAGTATTGCCACTTTAGAGGGTTTGTGAATCTGTGTCTCTATGTGTGTGTGTGAGAGAGTATGGTGCCAGGGAATCAGGTTGCTTATGTTTGCTGTTGCATGGTATATATTTTTTCTCACGCATTTACCTATTAGTTTTAACTACATTCATAAATTGTCATACAGTATGATTCTGGGTAATCCTTTTTTGGCTGCTTTTGTTTAAAGATTTATCCCAAAAGTATGCTGTATAGTTTCATTTGAGTACATATAGATTTGTAAGATTCAATTGCATGTATTCATTTGTGACTCTTCTAAGCTCATGTTTGTAAGATTCATCAAGATTGTTGTTTATACTTGTGATTCTTTTTATTACTTATATTATTCTACTGTATAAATTTGCCACAATTCATTCATTTTATTGCTTATAGATATTTGTTTCCAGTTTGTTAATATCTTGAAAAATGCTGTTATGAATGTTATTGTACATATTTCATGGTGTGCTATCAAACACATTTCTGCTGAGTTTATCTATAGAAAGAATTGCTGGACTATTTATTAGATAATGCCAAATTGCTTTCAAAGTGAAAGTATCTATGTATATTCCCCTAGCAGGTTTGAGTCTTGGTGATTTATTTCCTAATCCTTATTTTCAGAATTTTTAATTTTTGCTAATCCTATAGTTGTGAAATATATACCCCATGATTTTAATTTGTGGGTTTTTTTTTCTGAAAACAATTGAGATTTAGATTTCTTTCCATACTTATATATTTGTTTCCTCTTTTGTAAAGTCTTTTTTCAGTCTTTTTTTTTTCCCCATATAGTATGTATCAAGGGCATAGACTCCTCACTTTCACCTACAAATGTCTGATTATTGGCTAAAAGCAGGAATAAAGATTTGGTATCTCTGCTTCCATTTTGCATCCAACTCCTTTCCTCTAAGTCACCTTGGATTCCAGGAACAAGGTCTGATTCTATAACCATCTTGTGATGAGTTGAAGTTACCCTCCAGGCAACAGTAACTTTCTTAATTGAGAACAAGGCCTTGTCTGACCAATCCTGAGGTAGTGATGGACTGGCCATACCTAGTCAAGATCACATGCTTCTGGCCACTTTGAAAAGCACCCAACTATACAAATCCTAACCCTTGCCTTGTCTTAATTCCTCTTTCTAGGAAACCTCAAAATCACTGACAGACCTTGGAAGTTAAATTTCTTTTCATGCTTTTCACCTTTCCTGTTTGGCTTTTGGGCAAGTGGCTGAATCTGATTTGTTGGATTCCCAGAGTGAGGCCTTTACTCTAAGACACCAGTAACAAATATTTGTTTGATATTTTTATAATTTTTTKGGGGGGGGACATTGTTTATATATTCTAGCTAATAATTCTTCACCAGTATTTTGTGTAGCATAATTTGGTTGCAAATTTGTAGCTTGTGTTTCCAGGTTTTTTAAAGGAATATTTGGCTGATCAGAAGTCCTTAAAGTAGACAGGCACGGTGGTGCATGCCTTTAATCCCAGTGGCTTTGGAGGCTGAGGCAGGACTATCACAAGTTCAAAGCCATCCTCAGCAAAAGTGAGGCACTAAGCAACTCAGTGAGACCCTGTCTCTAAATAAAATACAAAATAGGGATGGGGATGTGGCTCAGTGACTGAGTGCCCCTGAGTTCAATGCCTGATACCCCCCCCCCCAAAAAAAAAGTACTTAAAGAAGTTAAATTTACTAATTGTTTCCTTTAAGTTTGTACTTTAAAAATGCGGTCCATCACCTCATATAAGACCCAATACTGTGTGTGTGTGTGTGTGTGTGTGTGTTTAGTTGTGGATTAACCTTTATTTTTATTTATTTATTTATATGTCGTGCTGAGGATTGAACCCAGTGCCTTACACATGCTAGGCTCTACCACTGAGCCACAACCCTAGCCCCAAGACCCAATACTTTAATGGAGTTTATCCTTATATTTTGTTGTTATTTCATTAACTGCCTCAAAAGTCTCTGAATTAGATGAGGAAGGAGAAAGAACTTGGAAATTTGGTGTTCCCCAAATTCTGAAAGTTTTAATTAAGACTTAGAAAAAGTATTTTGCTCCCCATTACTGTGACCACATTTGTAGTTCCCAGCTAGTATGGCCTTGGGAAAGAAAGTCTTTGCAAATTCAGAGTTATTCAGTAGTTCTTTATTTGTAGAGGTCAGGTATGCCCAAAGAATGTCAGTAGAGGTAAACAAAAAAAAAAAACTGTCTATAAAGAAAATTAATATGTGAATAAAATGTAGAGTCTATCCCTAAGACTAAGAGATTTCAAGAGAATATAAAAAGAAAAGAGGGCAAAGGGAGGGGGCTAGGTTCACTAAAGTTTAAAAATTAATAAGAAACTAGAGCCAGGTGGTAGATAAGCTGATGATGTTAGCTCTTGCAAAACACAGTTGAGATTTTGGCCTTCAGGGCAACTGGGTAACTGTCCTTTTCCTTTACTGCTGAAAAAGAAGGCTCAAGAAGAAGGGGGAAAAAAAAGGTATTTTGCTTTGGATTTACGAGTGTTTCTTCTGGGCTGATGGGAAATAGGTCAAAATCTGAGCTTGAATTAGAAATACAAATCAGGTTATTTGTTCCAGTATTTGGAATTTAGGAGTTTATGAGGACAAATAGTCTCTCTGCTCCTTTTATAATCTCAGAGAGCTGTGGAGTTACCCAAGAGTGCTCAGTAAGAGTGTCTTCAGTCAAGATTTTTCTTAGAAAGAATGTAAATACGAAATTACTATGAATGAGGATACTCAGAGTATATTTTTAAGGAAATAAAAAGTTATCAGAAATCACTTTATCTTTTCTGTCCCCATCAATATTTCTCCCTCTTTTTAACAACTATTTTCTAGAACATAGAAGAAACCATTATAGTCTAGAAAACTAAATCGTGGTCCTATTTATAAATATTTTGATAGAAAGGTGACTTCTTCCTTTCTTCCTTTCTTTCTCCCTTTCCTTTCCTTTCCTTTCCTTTCCTTTCCTTTCCTTTCCTTTCCTTTCCTTTCCTTTCCTTTCCTTTCCTTTCCTTTCCTTTCCTTTCCTGTGCTGAGGACCTAACCCAGGGCCTTGTGCACATGAAACAAATGTTCTCCACGTCCCCAGTCAGCAATTTTATTTTAGTGAGTGACATGTTAGAATTACATTTTGTGAAAATACATGTTACATCTATTTATACAACTCAGAAATGCTTTCCGGTAGCTAAGGGTAATCATCATGATTAAAAACATATCAAGAAAACAAGTATGAGTTAATTTCTGTTTGGGTACAGGAGATGACATGTAATATTTAAATAGAAGCTTAATGGGTGATATATGGAAGGAAATACTAGACCTTAAGCTTAGTTAAAACAGGACTGTACCTAATCTTTCAGTGACTATCAAATATAGATCCTTGATAAATTTTTGTTGATCAATTTGGCTAATAGTGGGAGATATGAATTCCATTCCTGGCTTTGCCATGTATTGTTGTGTGAACGTGTTTTTTCTTGAATATTTTCTTGAATATTTTTTCTTGAATATTTTCTTGAATATTGTAACAAATGCAATATGATTCTTTTGAGCTATAAACTCGTTGTAACCTCAGGAAACAGAAGCAATGTTTTATTCATTCAATTCTTATTCTCAGCTCTTCTGTCTCAATATGCTCATCCTTACTAGCATTTTTTCATGTCTATCTATTTATCTGTCCATCCATCCATCTATCCACACACATACACACGGCCCTCAGCTGATCAATTTTTGGTTCTCACCTCTCTACTAATATTTCCTAGAATCCCTTAAAAATAAACTACTGGTTCTTGAGTTGTTCAGTCAAGGTCAGCTTCTGGAGAAACCCAGAATAACATACACAGTAAGTTCTTCCTTGACCCACCCTTCAGCCTTCAGTGTCTCTTTCTTGAACAACTCAGATATCATACTCATTCCTCAAACCTGCTATACCCAGATTCTGCCTTCCCTTCACCATATTTTTTCTCGAAAAGATCACAAGGATGAACAACATACAGCATATCCAGTGGTGGTTTCAGAACTGAACTTGCTTGAAATATCAATTGATAGTAAATAAATGACCTTTCCGTTAGCCTCCTCATCCCTCTAATTTAGGATTTGATCTTACACAAGTCATTGTAGGAACTGGTTTAACAGTCTGAAAGACCGTTATCTTTGCATCTGATATTGGAGTTTTGGAGCTTGAAGTATTCCAGGCAATTTTGAAGGAAGGGTGGATGGAGAAGAGAGAGAGGGAAGGCTTTTGTCCACAAAGCATGAGTTTTGGAGCTTGAAGTATTCTTGCTGCCCCTGGCCTTGTGAATAAGTGCCTGCAAGAGGGGGTTGTACCCTTCCTCACAGAACTAAATTTGTAAGACTTTTAATATATTTTGTTTTCAATATCATTCTGTTAAAAATATCTTTCCATTTTCTAGTTATTTCTTCTTTGACCCATGCATTGTTTAGGGCGGTCATTTTAAGTGCTCAGTAATCAGAGATTCAAACACTTTGTTAGGTCAGTTTCTACATTTAGTGTCCTATGTTCTAAGTTTCTACATCCAGTCCTCTACATTCTAAGCAAAAATCAGTACGCTGGTTTCTTTAGAAAGAGATTATATTCTGAAGTTTTGAGGTGTAGTGTTTTATAAGTGTCAATTAGATAAAGTTGGTTGCAAGTGTTTAAATCTTCTGTATTGTACTAATTTTTTAAAAAAATGTGCTTAAATTACTGAGGAGAGTGTTAAAATCTTCAATTATGTGAATATTTTTTGGTGCATGCATTTTGAAACTATTTGTTATTGCAGAGTACATATGTGTTTAGAATATTTTGGATAAACTGTTTCTTATGAAACATCCTTCATTTTCTCCAACTATCTTGATATACAGCTTGAGATATGTTAATAAATATGTAATTATATAAAACATTATCTAAGTCGCTAAATATAGCCCCACTAGTTTCTTTTGCTCAATGTTTGTGTTGCATGAATTTTCTTCCCTTTTACTTTTATCTGTAAATCTTTACAATGTGTTTCTGGTTTTTGAACTGGTCTGACAACATGTGTCCTCTAATTGGAGTGTTTAGTACACATATATTTAATGAAATTATTAATATAATCGGGTTTAAATCTCCAGTGTTGATATTTTATTTTCTATTAACCTTATTTATTATTTACTCCTTTATTCCTCCTTTCTTGTTGTGGCAGATTGTATTTCCAAAGATTGCAAATGGCAGCACAAATACGCATCTCATCCCACATCCTTTTTTTATTTCACAAAATGTGACTGATATTTGTCCCACTGCTTGTAGAAGCCTATGTCCTTCCACTTGAATTTTAATGGTGGCTTCTGACTTCTCCAGCCAATATAAAATGACAGAGATTATACTTTTACCTGGCTCTATCTTTCTTGAAATATTTGCCCTTTTAACACACCATCCTGTGAGGAAACTCAAACTAACCTCTGTAGAAAGATCACAGTGAGGCTCACATATAATGAAAATTATGTGAAAGAACTCCCAAATAGGTAAAAGAATGATTCTCAGATGATTTTATTCCCTTGCCTTTGAGTCTTGCAGTTGAAACACCAGACATTGTGACACAGCGAGCGATAAAATGACCTCATGATAAGCCAGCACATTGCAATTTCTGAAAAGAGTTGTTGTCAGACTCAGGTCCACAATGTTCTTCACATATTTGCATTTCTAGCTCAGGGGCTTCTATTTTTAGGCCTCTTTTCAGACTTTTGATCAAGTCCAATTTCAAAGTTCTGTCAGGCACCTCTGCTGAGGCCTCCATATGCCCTGAGGAAGTGGAAAATTTATTTTCCCAATTCCTAAACCTTCTCCTCCACTTCCTTGCCCTAGGGGGTCTATAAAATTTCCAGAGCCTCTTATTTGGTACTCCCTCCACCTTGAGATGGCCTCTGATTCTGGGCTGATCCCTTGACCTTCATCCTGCATTGCCTGAGCACTTTCTCTAGTTCAGACTTTTGCTATGCTAACACAGTAAGTGATTGATGGCTTAATCCTTTTGGTTTTAGCTTGTTGCTTTAACTGGCTGCTGGACAGAGGAGCAGGCAGCTTAGCTCTCCCTTTCTTTCCTAGCTCAGCTGAACTTCTGACAGGTCTTTTAAGTTATCATAGTCTACCTGCAAATAATTTTTTATAAACTTGAAAAAACAGTGAAAGAAGATTCTTACCACAAGAGAATTCTACTAATCTCACTTTCACCTTTTTGTCATTTCTACATCTTATACTCTTTTATTATTTTAATGTTAAACAATCTTTTAATTACATTTAAATACACACATGCATACACATATGAGGAAATTTTGAAAAAGGACTTTCATATTTGCTCAGATAACTACATTTTTGGCTCTTCATTTTCATCTTTCCCAAACAGATTAAGTTCTCTATCTGGGATAATTCCCTGCAATATTTGAGCATTTCTTGAAGTGCAGGTTGCCTACATAATTTCTCAGAGGTTTCCTGTAAATAACTTTAGTTTCCCTTCATTTTTGAAATATATTTTTGTTAGATAAGGCATTTTAGTGTTTTAAGTTCTTTAAAATTTCTTGTCTTCCGGCTTTTCATTGTTTCAAATATTATTTATATTAGTCATTCTCATAAATGTAATGATTCTATTTTTCTCAGCTGCTTTTAATATTTGTTCTTTATATTACCAGTTTGACTATAATGTAATTGTTGTGGTTTTCTTGGCTTTTGTCCTCTATCAAATTGCTTGCAACTGTGGCATGGTGTTTTTCAACAAATTGGGGGGAATTTCAGCCATTGTTTTTTCAAGTATGTCTTCTGTATCTCTCTTCTGTGTCTAATTAGTGTTTAATATTGTCCCACACATCTCAAGTGTTCTGGTCTTCTTTTACACTCTTCTTTTTCTCTCTCTCTTTGTACTTTAGTTTTGCTACTTTCAATTGTGTTGTCTTACTCTGATTGGTCCTTTACTCTATCATTTTCTGTCTCATAATTCCAATATCTGGGCCATTTCTGTTTCTACTCTACTGATTGTTTTCTCTTATAATCATGAGTTGATTTTAAAACTTCTTTTGTTCCTCATAATTTTTAAAGAATTGACTCCTGGATATTTTGCATAAAAATAATGACTGAGAGAAGCACACATTTGTAATATATCTACTCTGAGGCTGAGGCAGAGGATCACAAGTTCAAGGCCAGCCTTGGCAATTTAGGCATAGCCTGTCTGAAATTAAAAGGTCTGGGAATGTAGCCCAGTGGTAGAGTGTTTGCCTAGCATTCCCTTCCCCAAATCTGAATTCCCAGCACTGAAAAAATAATAATGATGACTAAAAATAAATAAATAAATAAATAAAGATTTACCTCCAGGAAAGGATTTTTGTTTGTTTGTTTTTATTTATTCTTTCAGAAAGTGAAAATTAGGGGCTAAAACAGTTTGATCTGTGGTTGAGTTGAATCTGGGCTTTGTGTGGTTTGGTGCACCATTGGTTTCCAATAGTTTTCATTGTGGATTGGATTTTTCTCATCAGAAGAGCCTGGGGTCTCAGCATGAAGGAACATCTGGATAGATCTTTGTGCTTTACGGCCATGCTAGCTTTTCAAACTAGGGAATTCTGATTTGCAATTCTTCTGGAAGAAGAGTCACTAGGGGGGTTTTGTTGCAGTTATGCTTCCTGAGTGTGGGGACATCTATCTCTGTCCTTCTCCCCTCAACCTTTGGAGTGCAGCAGCCTTAACTTATACAAAGGCCTGCATTGCCTCAGAGTTTATCTCATCTCCCAGCTTGCCTCCCTGCACTCAGTCTTTGATGCCCTGTCCTTGAGCATGTGATGCAGTCCTATAGAAAGTCAGCAGATGGAGAAAGTCTGTGGTTAGAGTTTCTCAGAATTTTAATCTGTCAAACTAGCCTCCACATATTCATTAAAAGTCCATTAAATGTTCTGTTGATTTCTCACTTTTCTCCATGGGGTTTCTTTCTTTCTGCTTTATCATAATTGAAAATCAGCATGTAGGAGAGAAAATTTCTTGTCTCCTATGAGTAGTGCATCACTTGCTGGTGTTCACTTCATTTGGATTCTTGGCATTCTCAGCAATCCAATGAGTTAAAATGAAACAAAGTCAAAAACTAAATGAACTTTGGTTTTGTAGTTTATTCAGCTAGTTATGATTAATAGAGAGAGAAGAGTGGTCACTCTTGTGGCTTTCTCCAAATTAACCAAAAGATTAAGATTAATTTTTAAAAGTGAGATTGTAAAAAGTTCAGTAAGACCTCTGTGTCCCTGAACGTCTTGTCAGCTTCTAGTTTCGCTTAAGAACTGCTAAATCCTAAATACAAAGTGGTAGATATTTTTACTCTAGGAAAAAATACACACATCAGCTTTGTTTTTTGAAAGATTTTACTGTAGTTTGAAAAGGTCCTCCTTTTTTTAGTGCAATTATAGGTAAATTCTTCGATGTTAGACATTCTGTTTACAGGGTTTGGAGAGAGGATTTGTAATGGAGCCAGCTGTTCTATTTAGAGACATATTCAGTAAATCATTCTGTTTTCAATGCTGCCTCTCAGTTTTATAATCCATTATACCTTATTTTTCAAGAGTTCCCACATGACAAATTGTGATATGTTCTTGAAGTATTGACATCATTCATGTGCATTTGGACTGCTGCTTCCTCAACCCTGATTCATTATTATAAAACTTATCATCTTGCTTTTTGTCTTTTAGAAATTTGTTGAAAGCCCTCAGGCATTTTGCATTAGAAGATTACAATAGGATATGCTAAACCACTGGAGAGTTAAAACTGAATCCTAAGAGGTCGGACTCCAGGTGTAGTTCACCATTCATTAACTTTATTAACTTATTTTATTCCTTCTTTATTCTTTCAGTTTTGAGGTTTTGTTGAAGATTTTCCTAAAGAATTATCTGAGATTGCCACACAGCAGAAATGGTTCAGCTGACAGGTACTCCTCTAAGTGCACTTGTTGATGAGCCGGTACGTATCCGGATTTCAGGCCTGACTCCTTTTCAGATTGTGACTCTTCAGGCATCACTGAAAGATGAGAAGGAGAACATGTTTTATTCTCATGCCTACTATAAGGCCAATAAAGTTGGTGAGGTGGACTTGGAACATGATTCTGCGCTTGGAGGTGACTATGTGGGAGTCCATCCCATGGGTCTCTTCTGGTCCTTGAAACCTGAAAAGCTATCAATTAGACTATTGAAAAGAGATGTGATGAATAGCCCTTTCCAGGTCCAAATAAAACTTTGTGACCAAATGTTACCACTAGGAAATCAAGCTACTAGTACCTCAAAGGTCAGCCTGACTTTGGAAAGGTGGTATGTGGCACCTGGTGTCACACGGATCCAGGTAGAGGAAGGCCGCCTTCGAGGAGCCCTCTTTCTACCTTCTGGTGAGTTGAATTACTGTTGTTATTATCCTTGCATTTCTTCTTTTGAATACTTAATCCTTCTAGCAATTTAGTTTTGATGTGGATAATACATAGAGCTCTCCTTGCCTTCCTTAGAATCAGAGTTAACTTTAGGACATCAAAACAAGAATGTGCTAATATTACACTCCAACTCTGAGCCTGGAGCTTGTCTAAGGATATGACTAATATAGTTAATGGAATCCCTACATTGTGGGGGTTTCCAAAGTTTTGGATTTATACTAAATTTATCTGCATTATAGCATGACTATTCTGAAGACTCTTATCTTGATGTCACAGAAACTGTGTCCCAGCACCTTTGGGGGCTCTATCATGTTGCATTTCAGTTTAATGTTATTGCATTGTTGTCACAATAAGCTGGTGATGTGATGGATTGAAAGACTGCAACAAATGAAGATGATGCAAAGAAACTTTATTCCCATTAGTCCATAAATATTGCATATTTATAAAATATTCCATAAATCATATAACATTCTTCCTAATGGCCATAAAACTTACCAGAATACAAATTATTTCCCACAGTGATCTCCTCATACCAGTAAACAGTTTTAAACATCTATTGGTTAGAGTTTATTTTGACTCTGAATGAAGGAAAGATAGTTCCCAGAAGACTTCCCCAGACCGAGGTTTCTGATCTGTTTGAGGCCTACTGCCTCAAACAAGTGCTTTTATTTGGGACATAGCCATCACCTCATCAGAATATGTTGCCTTTATTTAATCTTTATAGAACTGAGATAGTGTTGTAGTCAGCTTTTTCTCTGCTATGACCAAAAGACCTGAAAAGAACAATTTTAGAGGAGGAAAAGCTGGTTTAGGGCTCAGAGGTCTCAGTTCATAGATGGCAAATCCCATTGTTCTGGACCTGAGATAAGGTAGAACATTAAGACAGAAGGGCATGATGGGGGACAGCATCTCAGGACATGGCACGAGGAAGAAGCAAGCAACAGCTCCACTCTCTAGGACAAACTATATATACCCTAAAGTTATGTCCCCAATGACCCACCTCCTTCAGCACACTCTGTCTACAGTTACCATCCAGTTAATCCCTGTCAGGGAATTAATGCACTGCTTAGATTAAGGCTTTCATAATCCAATCATTTCACCTCTAAACTTTCTCACACTGGAGTTTTGGGGGGACCTAATATCTAAACTATAACAGAGGGCTTGAGGACCCTTGATGTATTAAGGTTGATTTCTGGGAACATAGAGTTAGAGGTGGTGTAGAAGGAATAAATCTTCCCTTTTCAAATTTGCCATGACCCATGTACTTGTTTGGATAAATTGGAATTTTATATAGCCAGTAATTAGCATATAGACCACTTTATTGTATACAGGACCAGGAAGTAAGTAGCACAAAATTTTGTTTCTTTAGCACTCCACCCCTGTTAAAAATTTGTGTATTGATACAGTTCTGCCATGTTGGGATGGTGTGCTGGTTCAGGATGTACTGTTTGTGAACCCTTTGGACATTGAATAATACTAGATTTTCCACTTGAGGTGTTTGTTCTATGGGAACACTGAAGGGTGAGTTGTGTGGGCCATAAAAAGATTGAGTTGGGTCTCAAAAACATTTCTCAACTGCAACATTCTTTCTAGATAAGGTACTCAGTACTATTAATAGTTCTCCCCTTTCCTTCCAAGCAGAATATGAAAGAAAACATCCTTATTCATCTACTCAAAAGGCATTTTGAAACCAAGCGATATTAAGTTATCATTTCTTTCTTTCTCAAAGTGAATATAGTAATTTTAAAAAATTCCTAATACTCATTTAAATCAAACCACTCCTTTTAAACGTGTATGGTACCTGTCTTCCATAGCTAAAATCCTATATCTAACAATAGAATTCTCCCAGTAAATGCACTATAAATCTCTTTTAATGTATGAACTCCCTCAGAAAGGGAGTGTAGAATGATTCTCTTACCATGTCTCCTTTTTACCAAGTGTTAGGGAGTGGGGAATAACGAGCATTACTTAGTGAAAGAGTTCGTCATTTACATCTGCTTAGGTGGGAGATTTCATTACTAAGTAGCAGATTAGTGTAACTGAGCAGTATCAAGCCAGGATGGTAGCAAAAGTAATCTTTAACAAAAAATATTTTTGAGTCATGTGCTTCCTTGAGAACCCAGTTAAATCTTTGGATTCTCATGTTAGTTAGCTTTTCATTACTATAATAATATACCTGACATGGTAAATGTATAAAGAAAAGAGTTTTATTTTAGGTTTCAGTCCCTAATGGATTGGTCCTGTTGTTCTGGGAAAAGCAGCACATTCTGGGTGGAATATATGGTGGAGCAAAACTGCTCACCACGTGGGAAGCAAAAGACAAGGAAAGGAAGGGGCTGGGGTCCCTTCAAAGGCATGCCCTCAATGACCTGAAGGCCTCCTGTTATTCCATCTTATCAAGTTTCTACCATCTCCCAATACCATCACCCTTGGATCAAGTCTTTACCACATGCTTGTCTAAACTATAACATTTCTCATCAGTAAAATGCACACTTAAACATATATTCTACTTTTGCATATAATTTTAGGACCTTCCAAGTTTTCCTGAGGTCTGGAAAACTTGTACCTTTTATGTACCTTTTATGGGTTAAGAAGTACTGGCCCAATTTTCTGGTTTTCTTTACTCTAAGACTATGTAAATGGTTCCCTTATCAATAGGCCATAATTCAGTCCCAGTTACAGGGCTGAAAATTGGGGGATTCTATTTAAAAATTTATACATTAATTTCAAAATTTCTATTGCATTTCTCCCTTATGGGTTCATATTTTTATTATCTTTTCTTCATCCTTCATACACAAACATGTTTTGTTTTATTTTATTTTATTTCTTTTTCAGGAGAGGGCCCTTTCCCAGGGGTAATTGATTTGTTTGGAGGTTCTGGTGGACTGTTTGAACACCGGTCCAGTCTCCTGGCCAGTCGTGGCTTTGCCTCATTGGCCTTGGCTTACTGGGGCTATAAAGACCTGCCTTCCCAACTGCAGAAAATAGATTTAGAGTATTTTGAAGAAGCTTCCAACTTTCTCCTGAGACATCCTAAGGTAATTTTATCTCTTTAGTAAGTTTTAGTCCTAGTTTTTTTAAATAACCATAATATTCTGTTGCTTCTCTTAACTTCCAATTAAGATTCTCCCTCAGTGAATCCAAAATTCTGTTACTTGCCCATATTATTCACTTGACTTCTCATCCAGTTTATTTTGCTCAGAAAAACAAAATGTGTAGGAAGTTAGCCTGTGTCCAAAAGGCATTGGCTTTGAAGTTAGACAGAAATGAGTTATTTTTCTAGCTTTGTCTCATTTGGTTCAGGGAATTTGGGTAAGTTACTTAGTGTTTCTTCACCTGTTAAATAATCTTATAATGATACTACTTTGTAAAGCTATAGTGAAATTTAAAGGCTATTATCGAAAACAAGGTTCTTATTATAAAGTACTTGATAATATAGCATTGTAGTCAATATAGTATTATAGTACTTGACAGTACTAAATACTCAATTATTATTGTTATCATTTTCTCATCACCATTTTTACCTAGACAACTACTATGCATTTCTTTGAAAAATGGGTCTGAGTCTTTATTACTTGAGAGGACTTGAACATAATACTTTAGTACTAGTACTCTGATTGTAGTCCAATCTACATACCATCTTGGAATCTTAAAATGTATACTTTGCTACTATAATAGGGGTGGCACTTATTATTCCTTGTGGATTGCCTACTATTTTTTTCTTTAATAAGAATTAAACTAAAATTAAATGTAACTAGTATATAGTTTTTCATGTAAAGATCACCAATATAGAATCAGGTTTGCAATAATAAGATAAGCAACAATTACTGATAATTTACTAATGTACTGAAATTTTAAATGGCTATTTTTGATGCATTAAATGGAATTGTCCTTGAACTATCAGATAGGCAATGTTATCATTATGCCAGCCCTTTGCTTGACTTGGATGAGAAATAAAGAGATTATATGATTCTGATTTTCCACTTCCTTAGTCTGGTTCCCCTTATACTTGCTGCATTACTTTGCTGTTTTGACATTGCTGTTTTTGCAATGTCAAAAAGATAGCTAGTTATGACTATTAATCTAGGCCTAGAAACCAAACTTTGTTCCTAGGCCCAGAGTGCTTCCATTAATGCTGCTTTACAATATCTCTTCTGCTAAATGATAAATCAGAGACCTTTCAATTCCTGATAGGAATTGTTGATTTTAAGTGACTTTTGAAAACTTGAAATTCCCTGATCCCAAATTGGTGACAGAAGTTTTAGCAAGAGTTACTCTTCTTCCAAGGATCAGAAACAAAGTAGATAAAGTCTGCATATATTTGAGTCACATTTTTTAGTTCGAGTATGTTATAATTGCTTTTGGTTTATCTTCCATGGCCAAATGCATTGAGTTCCCATCTCTCCTTGCCATAACTGTGACTATCTTCCATATTAAGACATAGAATTTCAGAAAGGGGGAGCCCAGATTGGGAAAATGGAAAGTTTAGTAAAGGATATTGAGTTTCAGTAATAAAAAAGAATAAATTCTGGTGTCTATTGTATAGTTAATAATGCATTGCATATTTCAAAATTGCTAAAGGAATAGATTTTAAATGTTCTCAACACACAGAAAGATAACTTTGTGAAGTTGTGAAGTGATGAATATGTTAACTACCCCAATCTGCTCTTTCCAACTGTACCTCATAAATGTATATAATTGTTATGTGTCAATTAAAAATGAAAATTAAAAAAGGATTTCAAATCTTTGAGATATCCTTTAACTGATTCAAACCACTTTTTTAGTGTGCGACATGGGAAATAGGGAGAATACATTCCTCATTCTGTTTGTTTAGTTTTTTCCCCCCTTATCTTATTTCTCACATTTCTATCAGCTGGCCACAAGTGGTATTTTCATTCATGTTTTTCTAAATAGTGGGAAACCCCAAACATTTAATTGATAAAATTTCCTGAAAATTCAGAAGACCAATTAAGAAGAGAAAGATAAAAAGACGTTTCTCTTTGAAACTCTGCAAGCAGCCAGGGCTCAAACACAATCAAGGCTGTATTTTGTGTCACAAAGAACTATCTTGTCTTGAGCTCCTTCTTTGCACTCCTGTACCTAGCCAATGATTGAGAGCTAGCTGTACATTCTACACTTTTAAATAACTTGGAACCATGTAGTTTCCTTTTCATTTCCACCGGTGTCCCCTTTTGTTCAGACACCATCACTTCTTGCCTATGCTATTGTAATAAGTTTTAGTTTTTCTACCTCTATTTTTTCAAATTAAAGTTGCAGGATTAGCCTTTTGAGAGCACAATTGTTTGCCAGACTTCCTAGCATTGTTAGACAAACTTTCTATGCTCTGAATTCTGCATATTTCTTCAGCTCTACCTTATGCTCATCTGTAAAACCTGGCCTAATACTGCTCTTTAGTTAGGAAAAGAGTCAAGGCTTGCTGGGCACTTCTTTCAGAAGTACTCACTATCATGTTGCTATTTTCTTTTTCAGACTTATTCTGATTTTTCCCACCTTATTCTCTAAATTCAAGTAATGAAGAACTACCCTGTGGTTCCCTACATTCATTGCTCTTTGTTGCCTCTGAGTTCTCACATGTGTTCCTGCCATGGAAAATCTGTTTGGGCTACATTTCCCAGAAAAGTGGCTGTTGGTAGCCTAATAATATCAACATAAAGAATTTTATTCTCTCATTTAACAGATCAGAAGAGAGGTGATTCAAATCAGTGAAGTGATCAAGGAAACTGAAATGATATTTCTGTAATTTTCTTACCTTACTCTCTGGGTCACAAAGTGACTGTGGCAGTTTTAGGCATACTTAATGCCTGAACATGCCAGCATCGTAATATGGAAAGAATGGTCAGAAACACAGGCTTTCACATCATAAATTCTGTATCATTTTACATGGGGATAAAAGAAGGCCTTAGGTATAATATATTGGCCTTACAACAGAGGCTGAAAAAGTATGTAGCAAAGAGCAATAGGTTCAAACACATTAGAATTTATCTCTTGGGACTGGATACATTGCTATGCCACATAAAATCAAGGCAGCATTAGCCTTGAAACTGTAGTGAATGATTCTGATATAGGTAACCTAATGATGCCCTACTACACTCAGCATGGAATTCTACTCCTTTTTGGCTCCCTTTTTTTTTTTTTTTTTTTTTTTTTTTTTACATGAAGACTCAATGCGTAGTCCATTTCCTCTGAAAGTCTTTGATCCTGCAGGGAGTTCCTTGGTGGCAAGAGATTGAGCCTTTTCTCCCTGGGGCCCTCACTGTTTGGCATAGGGTGGATGATCTAAAAATGCTTATTTGATAATTGACAAGGAAAAAGAAAACTGAGCCAAACTCCCTTGTGAAATTTTTTTTGCAAACAAAGCAAACTAGAGTCCTCTGTTCAAATTTCATGCTTTATCCTACTGACTCATCTTCTTTCTTAGTCTCTTCCTCTAGGATGCCCATTCTTTTGAACTTTTAGAATTGGTGCAACAAAGTTTATTAATCAATTATATACCCTGATTCATATTATTCACAATAGTACATGCATTTTACTTATTTTCCCTAAGACATTGATATTTCTTGAGGGCATTTTAAACTCAGAATCAAACACAATGCTGAATCCATAGTATTTAGTCAGTAAAGCTCAATACGTTTTTAAAGGAGTATTTCCTTGAATGCACATTCTATCTTCCAGAACTCTACACATGAGGTGTGAGTATATTTGCTTTGTTTGCATTGGTCACTGAAGCTCTTTGGTTGTCTAAGATGATGGGTTTTCCTAAATGAAGGGTAGAATAACTTCTCATTTTTGTTATTTTCAGATCTTTGGCCCAGGCATTGGGGTAATCGCTATATCCAAAGGAGCAGAGATTGCACTGTCTATGGCTGTTCACCTAAAACAAGTCACAGCCACCATACTTATAAATGGGCCAACCTCCATTTATGGCTTTCCACATGTATACCGCGGTCATACCTATCAGCCTATACCCTATTCTATACAGTTTCTATCCACCAATGCTTTGGGGTTTATAGAGTTTGATGGCATTTATAAGGAAATTGGAGTTGAGGCTAGCCAGTCTTTTCTTCCCATTGAAAAGGCCCATGGGCACTTCCTCTTCATTGTGGGAGAAGATGATAAAAATACCAATAGCAAAGAACAAGCTAATAAAGCCACAGAACGGTTAAAGAGACATGGGAAGAACAACTGGACCCTGCTATCTTATTCTGGGGCAGGCCATTTGATAGAGCCTCCCTACTCTCCCCTGTGCTGGGCGTCAAAGACCCCCAATGTTTACACACCTCTCCACTGGGGAGGAGAGGTTATTGCACATGCAGCTGCACAGGAACATTCTTGGAAGGAGATCCAGAAATTTCTCAGGAGGCACCTCATTCCAATGGTGACCAATCAACTCTGAGAAGACTACATATTCCTGCGAAATAGAGAAGAAAATCTCTTCATTAGCATCTCTTGATTTTCATAGAGGAAGACCTTTGATCTCTTACTGTTAAGAGGGAAGTTGTAACCAAAAAAAAAGGGCAGGAGGAGTGGGAATGGTAAAGTCTTAATTTTTGAAAGGGAAATGGTTTCCAATGAACCAAATATTATACACTGAGAATCTCTTTTTTGTAGAAATAATCTATGCCTCTACCTGCCCTGAAATAGTCTTCATTTTAGCAATTCTCAATCATAGCAATTGTCAAGGGAAAATTTACCAACAATGAACCACAGATATGAAGAACAGATATGAAAAGAATCAGATGCTGACATCTATTTCCTAAAACTCAAATATTTGTAGATTCCTCATAGCTCATTAAAAATATACTCATAGCTCATTGTTGCTTTGTTGTTATTGGGAGGCTCGAGCCAGATAAAGAATGTGTTATTTTAAGGCAATGTGAAAGTTTATTATGGATGTAAGATCATTGAATCAGTCTACAATCAAAAATTCAACAAAAATTAATGAAATTAAATAAAATTATTTTTGTGTCTGAACATGTACAGCATGTTGGCATTCTCAACAATGAGAAAGCAGAAATTTGAGATTCATAGACTTGCAATTCAGGGAGTTAGCCATAATAATGGGGATTGTATGTCTCTAGATTAGGGTCTGGCAGACTTTTCCTGTAAAGTAACCAGATGGTAAATATCTTCAGCTTTGTGAACCATAAGATCTCTGTTACTACTCCTTAGCTCTATTACAGCACAAAAACTGTAATAGCCATAGGTAACTGTGTAATGAATGATGGAGACTTTATTCCAATTAAATTTTATTTATGGACATTGAAATTTGTGTTTCTTATCATTTGTACATATTTCAGAGTAGCAATTTTCTTTTTATTCTTTTCTCCAAGCACTTATAGATGCAAAAACCATTCTTAAATCCAGCAGCACCACACAAATAGGCTGTAGGCCACATATAACTCCCAGGACATAATTGGATGACCCTGGGTATAGTGCAATCCAAATGACCTTGTCCAGGGTCAGATTTGCTGTGTGTTCTCTAAAGGGAAAACCATAGTCCCACTATTACCAAGCTACCTAATTGCAGTGAATAGAAGATGATTGGTGGCTAATCAAGGCGAATATGACCAAGCAGAAATGTATTTTAGATGATTTTGTAGGTATGATGGGTAGCCAATGAGAAATTAGAATAACAGAAGTAAAATGAGGATGCTTTAGTTGTGTCTGCCTAAACCCCTTTCCATTTGTGTGCTTTCTGATACTTTCTTTGTTTAGAATAAAATAATCCTATTTGGTTTAAGTAGAACAAATAGCTCCTTCCTCTCTCACTCAGAGAAGTGGTCACATTTCACATATTTGAAAACCTCATATTGAGTATGATAATCGTGCAGTTGCATATTGAATAGCTTACATGACTCTTAAATTTGTGCATTTGTATGTTCAGATAAATAGGTGTGAACTCTGATGCCAATTCTTTACATAAGTGTATTAATGTTGATATCACTTTGAGAGTGACATAATAATGTTATTGATAGCAATTTATATGATGAAATTAAATAATTTCTGTAATAATGATAATTTCTCAAAAACTATTTTATAAATTTATGACTTATTACTAATTTAAGTATTACTTTAAGAAATGGACTGGGCGCGATGGTACATGCCTGTAATCCCAGGTTGTGTAGCCTGAAGCAAGAGGATCGCAAGTTCAAAGCCGGCCTTATCAACTTAGTGAGGCCCCAAACAACTCAGCGAGATCCTGTCTTTAAATAAAATATTTAAAAAGGCTGGGGATGTGTCTCAGTGGTTAAGCACCCCTGAGTTCAAGCCCCAGTACCCCTCACACACCCCCAAAAAACTACATGCACACAAAGAAATGTGTTTATTTGTTATTTCAATGTCTTTGTCCTCTTCAAAGCAAAATTGCTCCAAATTAAAATGAATAAATCAAATCTCTAATGATCCATTGAAAGATGTCTGTCGAGAGAACAGAAATTATGTGAAAATCTTGGTCATAACAACACAATCAGTGATTTTGCTAAATGATGCCACAGGATGAATATGTAATGATTTATTAATTATGAGTGTCTTTATTACTTATTTGAAACACTGCTGGCCTATCAAAAGAATACCTAGACATGTACTATAATAATACTATGGAGTTATTTTTTGATATTTTAAGACTTCTGGTGATAGAAATATTATAATTTTACAAATAATTTTTTTTGTCATTATGAAGGTGTATTTCAGGTAGGAAGATAGAACATATTTTACTGAATTGTTTGTTCTTTTGGCTTATTCATGTTAAATAGATATAATACTGTATGTAGATCTTCATTTTTACTTTTGCTCCACAAATGTAGGGAATGGATTTATATATTACATATACCTATTGCTGAGGAGTCTCCCTAAAATTCATATGTTGAAATCCATCCTCCAAGGTTCAGAGATGGGGCATTTGTGGAAGTGATTAAGCCGTGCCCTCACAGTGGGATTAATGCTTTATAAAAGAGGTTGAAGGGAGCTATATTGCCTCTTCTATCACATGAGGATGCAGCTACAAAATGTGCCTATGCATGAACCCTTCATTCATCTATGAATGACCCCTTATCAGTCACCAAATCTGCCAGCACCTCAATCTTACACCTCCAAATCTCCAGAACTGTGAGCAATATATTTCTATTATTTATAAATTACCTATCATAAGGTATTTTATTATAGTAGCAAGAATAGACTAAGACAGACATCAGTACCAGAAGTAGAGCATTTTCAGAACAAATACCTAAAAATGTGTAAGTAGCTTTGGAACAAAGTAACGGGTAAAGTCCCATGCAAGGGACTTTACAGGTGATTCTGGTGAAGGCTCAGCAAAGAAGAGAGCTATAGGGATTGCTTCAATCTTAGAAATTACCTGAGAGCTCATAGTTAGAGTGTAATTGGAAATATGGATGATAAAAATCATTCCGATGAGGTTTCACATGGAAATTAGGAATATGTTATTGGAAACTAGAAGAAAGGGAATCCATGTTTTAAAATGGCAAAGAACTTGGCTGAATTGTGTTCAACTTATAAGTGATGAAAATAGATATTTGATAGAAGAAATCTCTAAGCAAAGTGCCAAGGGTGTGGCATTGTTTTTCTTGACTGCCTACAATAAAATGTGAGAGGAGATAAGTAAATGGAAGGTAGAATTTATAATTGGAAGAGAAGCAAAACTTAAAGATTTGGAAAATCCTCAATGTGGCTGTGTTCTAAAGCCTGAAAAAGCAGCCCAGGAGAGAACACCAGGCTGTGGCTAAGTAATTGTTTGACAAGGAGATATGTTTGAGTCAATTTTCTTTTGCTGCTGTGATAAAAGGACTGAATCAGAACAACTGTTAGAGGAGAAACGGTTTATTTAGGGGCTCACAGTTTCAGAGGTCTCAATCCATAGGCAGCAGGCTCAGTTCCTCAGGGCTCGAAGTGAGACAGGACATCACAGTAAAAGAGTGTGGCAGAGGGAACCAGCTCATACGATAATCAGGAAGCAGAAAGAAACTCTACTCTCCAAATACAAAACATATACGCCATAATCATGCCCCCAATGAACCACTTCTTCCAGCCACACCCCACCTGCCTCCAGTTACCACTCAGTTAATCCCATAAGGGATTAATTTACTGATTAGGTTAAGGCTATAACCCAATCATTTCTCCTCCAAACCTTCTTGCGTTTTCTCACACATGAGCTTTGGGGGGACATCTCACATCCAAACCATAAGAGTATAGTTATGCAGACACCAGGTGCTATCTACCCTGATAATGGATTAATGCTGTCCCTCTCATCACAGGTCCAGAATGCTAAGGCCTAGGGACAGAAGATGCCAAAAGAGGGCTTCAGGTATTCCTGGAACCTTGGTGCCAGGACATCTCAAGTCTCCCATTTCCTCTATTCTGGTGCAGTGCTCCTCAGCAATCAGGTGTGGTTTAAGTGGGCTAAGGTTTGAGTTGGTCACCCCTCTGGTAAGCACAGATGATAAACATTGTTGATGCCCATGAAGTACCACCTTCATCAAGGTGCCGAGTACATGAGCTTTGATGGCATGGTTACCTGCACCTGGATTTCAAAGGATGCCCCAGAGAACCTCAGCCCAGGCAGAGAACTGCCACAGGGGCAGAGTTATCACAGACAGCTCTCAGGTCAATGTCCAGTGGAGCTATAAGGGTGAGGGCTACCATACAGAGTGATGCCTAGCAGAGCTGTGGGGACAGGGCTCACCTCTATGACTGTAGACTGGTAAGCCTTCGAGAAGCAGCTCCAGTCTGGGAGAGCCACAGTCAAAAGACCCAGTATTGTAGAGCTGCTCTGTGGGTTTCTCTCAGCAAAGCCATGAGGGCAGTGTGTGTGGAATGTGGAACAATGAGGCAAGATTATCCTGGAGCTGTAAGATTTAATGTTTGCCCTATTATATTTGGGGTTTAGTTGGAACCTATTATCTCTTCTTTCTTACTTCCTTTTGGAAAGGAAATGCCTGCCCTGTGCCTGTCCTACCATTATATTGGAAGCACATAACTAGTTTGACTTCAGAGTCCCAATGATGAAGGGGCATTTGCTTCAGGATGAATCATACTTTTAAGTCTTACATCTATCCAATTTAGATGAGACTTTAGATTTTGAGTTGGTGCTGGAACTTTTGAGTTAGCTTTGGAGATACAGGAATGGAATGAATGCATGTGAGGACAAATTTGGAGAAATCAAGGGGAAAATTCTATGATATGAAAGTGGGCATCCCCTTAAAATTCATATGTTGAAGCCTGACCCCCCAGGATGATGATACTGAGGGGTAAAGCCTCTAAAGGGAATGATGGGATTAGTGCCTTATAAGAGGATAAAGGGAGCTGCTTTGCTCTTCCACCACGTGGTAGCAATATGATGCCATTTATTAAACACACAGCAAGTTCTTATCAGACATCAAATGAAGAAAGAAAAGCATCAAGCTGCTGAAGAGAATAGAATTTCTTTTCCCTGATTAGTAATTTTATCCGTCACAGGTGAACTTTTGTTCTCTTTTAATCTTTGTTTCCTGCCTTCTCGTGTTGCTTGGTAGTTCTTAACTATCCTTCCTCCTAACAAGTCACATTCTCCCAGTATTATAGACTTGATCCCCTGCATCTTGGGAATCTGCAAGTCTGGCACCAGCTGAACTCCCTTGTTTTTATATTCAGCTTGTAATAAGGCTGCTTCCATGTTGTTGAGGGTTTCTTCTCCAATCACTTCAATGTTAATCCTGTGCGAGGCAGTCAGATTCTTGTTGCTTGTCCTCTGCTGATTTGGATCCTTTGTTGTGTTGACACCCTTCCATGGGCAGAGACCTGCCTGGTGGTGCAAAGAAGTGGGAAATTTTAGAAAATCTATTCTATTGGATGTTGAACAGTCTCCTGTCTTCATAAAAATTCAGTTTGGCTTTTGTGTTTTCTTATTCATACTCTCAGAAATTTCATTCTATTTTTTCTTTTACATGTTTCACTCATTCTTTCATTCATCAAATATTTAATGACCACTAAATTCCAGGTGCTATTCTGGAATGGAGAAATACAGACGTGAACAAGGTATAATTTTTGCCCTTGAGGCAGTTATAATCTATAGTAGTTTGGTCCAACAGCACATTCTCTGATGGTAGAAGTCATCTATATACATATTGCCCAATATGCTAGCTATACATAGCTACTGGACATTTAAAATGTGGTTAGTATAAGTGAGGAACCAAGTTTTAAATTTTATTTATTTTTAATTAATTGAATTTAGCCACATGTAGCTAGTGGCTATAAAAGGGAGAGACAAATAAAGAAGATTTTTACAATATTATATGTTACATTTTAAATAAAATGGTTGGTTATACCATTAAATAGATTTGGGGTTAGTTAGAAAGACTGAGGTATTAATCTCTATCTATGTAAACTAGTTGGAATACTATTGAGAAGAAGACCACAAAAATGGAATACAAGAAAAGTTGGAAAATGTCACATAGATGAAGCATGGGTGAGAGGAGGCAAGGAGAAGAATTGAGGGCCTTGGATGTTGGAACCTTGCATAAATCATTGGAAATATTAATTGATTTGTCTTCATCCCCCACTTCCCACCCTTACATTTTGACATTTCCATTTTTCTTTGTTGTTGTTCTTCCACCCAAAGGAGGCCAGTCAATGTCCTTTGCCTCAGAAGAAGTTGGCAAGTCAAAAAGAGAAAAACCAAAGAATCTTTTCCCAGCCTTTGAGTTACAGAAAATCTAATGGTCAATATGCATTCCACAAGTCACAAATAAGTGTGGATTATTTGGTTAACACCTTATTGTTAGTGTTTTTTTTTTTTTTTTTTTTTTCCAAATTGAGGTCTTGCTGTGTTGCTTAAGCTCTCCTTGAACTTCTGGGCTTAAACAATCCTCCTGCCTCAGCCTCCTCAGGGTATGTAACCACACCCTGCAGTGCTATTTTTTTTAGTGCAATTCATTTGAATGCCTTTAGACTGGGAAGGTACTCTTTAGTTCATACTAGTCCTGTATTTCATTTGTCCCTGGAAGCTAGAGATGTAGAGATTTACTTTACAAGCCTGGCCCCTATAGGTATGTGAATTTGGTGTACCTTATAAAGCAGGTTTAGAAGAAGGCATAATGATGCATAAGCAGGGTTTCCTAGCACCAGGTATTTCAGCATTGTAGAAGAGAAGTTGCAGGAAAATTACTTGGACTTTGGGGAAAACAAGGTACCCTGCTTTAAATTTTGTTGTTACATCTCTGTCACCCAGAGGAATAAGGACTTAAGACAGAAGTTATTTTGAATCTAGAAAAAACAGAAAAAATTACATTTTGTGCACACATGCATTTGTGGACTATAATTTAATTTCTCTTTTCCATTATTTATCCTGTCAAACTACAATTAATTATCAGGATGCAACTAAGTGGTAGTACTTAAAAATTCATTTTTAAGAATGCAAATATTCCTTTTTCAATTATATTAATAGAATTTATTTAGTTCCTTATTCCCTAGAGCTTAAATAAAATTCATGTGAAGTAATTCAAAAAGGAAAGACAAAATTTTCAACCTACTATATTCTTCTCCATGGATACAATGCTCACTAATCAAGGGTGACCCCCATCTTGGATGCAAAACTAAGAATGGGCTCTATCAATTGAACATGGTGGTTTAGCATAATGCCTTAAGGGGATGATGCTGAAGAGTGGTTATGGTAAGCAATTTAAATTAATCATGAAAACAAATTTATATTGAATCAATACATTATACAGAAGTTTTGAGGAAAAGAATAATAGCCAAAAGAATGTGAATGAATTATGGGTTCCTAATGATCTCATGTTTGGGGGAAAAGGAAACAACAGATATTGAGGCTTATAGGAGTGACTGACTCAGATTGGAAAATACCTACAAAGCACTGAAATGTTGCTAAGGATTCAAGATTTTTTTTTTAAATATTATATGTTACATCTTCCTAACATGAATGAAAGACCAAGAAGTTTGAATTAATGCCACCTTCTCTTAAGAACTTCCACAATATTGAAGTAAAATATTCATAATGTTCTATTTATTCAAAATGATTCCAATGACCAAGAGTTTATGTTTATGTAAAATTGTTAGTAATACTGTTGTTGGTAGGGGATCGGGTGGAAGGAGTATTTCCTTTGCAGAAAATCACTTTTTTAAGGTTCATAAAGGCATTTTCCCCCTTGACCATCTCCTACTTCCAGTGACCCACTTTCTACAGTAGAAAATTAGAAGTTAAGGCTCCTGTTTCTATTCCTGCGCTATCAGAGTCAGTTGATTTTCTGTAGAAGTTTTTCTGCTTGTAAATCTAAACCTCAAAGCCTTTAGTTTGCATTTCACCTAAAATAAAATCAATGACCCTTTGGAGAATCAAGCTTTAATGAGGGGACACCTATTACTATAATTTCTTTGAAGATATTGTTGAAAAATGGTGCCCACATGTGTTTAAGTATCATAGGTGAAATTTCCCTTTTGGAAAGACCTCACTTTTTCTTTTCTTCTAAGGAACAGACAACTTTTCCTTTGAGAGCAATTAGAACAACAGAAGGATGACTGCCCTTTTTCCTTTAACTATCCATCCTTTAGTGCCAAACTTACAGTCCACCAAATGGTCTTCTTTTCATGTTCCAAGTTTTCTTTGATCTGTGTCTGTGATTCTAGTTCATATGTCCCCAGGTTCTACTTTATGTTTATTTTACTCTTCATCTGTTATCTGTAAGCAAGTTTAAATCCTTTGTGAAATGACATATAGAGGGAGGGAGGTGGAACAGAGGGAAATGAAAGGCAGAAAATAAAAGGAGGAAAGAACTAAAATTTTCTTTATAATGGAGTAGAGTTTGAAATGACTGATCAAATATATATTGAAGTCTCTTTTACCAAATACAACATTGGCATTTATCACTCTACTGGAAAGGCATAAAAGCAGAGAAAAGCATGTGAAGTTTTATTTCCCTTAAAAAGAACATATAATGGACATTCTGCAAAAAGCTGAAAATCTAGCAGTAGCAGGTGTGGATTACAGACTAAAGAAACTACTACTGCCATCGTAATAGGTGGTCTGTTTATGTAACTACCCCAGATGGGCATGGGACTGGAAAGCTTCGGTGTTTTCCTGTTTTCGTTTTTCTAAGCTCTTTAACAGAAATTACTCTCCCCTGCTCACATCGTAACAAACACCTTGTGAAACAGGTCACATGAACAGATGCTATTTCAACTGATGAATTAAAGCTCAATTTACTAAAAAACCACAAAATTAAGATTTATTGGCATTACAATAAATAAGGCAGAAGGTGGTAGTGTCAGATCTAGCTTGAATTTCCAGTTCTAGCAACTACTTATGAGTTTCAGAGCATATTACTTAACCTGCATCTTCATTTGTAAAATTAGACTAAAACAAGGACTCTGGATGTTTCCCTCTCCCTCTTCCTAAAGTTCTGTGTATTTTGCACCACATCTCTAGAAGTTTAACTTTGTCAGACCTGACATCAGCTTCGCGATGGCCTTTCCTTGGAACTTGCATCTCCAGCTTGGTCTACTTTACCACTGCAGGGCAGGATACTCCACTTGGCCTCCACTTGCCTGCTGCCCATGTTCCAGCTAACAGCCACTCCACAAAATGGCCTTGCAGATGAGCCAGTGCACATCCAAGTGACAGGCTTGCCCCCATCCCAGATGGTGACCCTCAAGGCCTCCCTGAAGGATGAGAAGGGGAATCTGTTTCGGTCCAAAGCCTTCTATAGGGCTAATGAAGCTGGAGAGGTAGATGTGAAGTGAGATCCCGCATTAGGGGGTGATTATATAGGGGTCCATGCTATGGGCCTCTTCTGGTCTCTGAATCCTGAAAAGGCTTTCCGGAGGCTGCTCAAGAGGGATGTGATAAATGATCCCTTTAGGGTCACTCTGGACCTATATGACTCTGTTTGCTTGCAAGATTCAACCACAGCTCAGCCCAGGGCCAGCCAGATGGTGCAGCGCTGGTTCTTGGGCCCTGGGGTGCAGCGGAAGCAGATCAGAGAAGGTCGTGTGAGAGGAGCCCTTTTTCTCCCTCCAGGTGAGAGAAATCTTTGGTGATAAAGTAAACATTGTTGATGGGGGGAAAAATGTATCCAGATAGAATGAATTTTCTCACTCTTTATATTCATGGTTCTGCTTGACTCTCTTGTGATCCCATGCTCTTCGTTGCTCTCAGGAGAAGGCCCTTTCCCAGGAATCACTGATTTGTTTGGGAACATTGGGAGTCTAGTTGAATTTCGGGCCAGTCTTTTGGCTACCCATGGCTTTGCAGTATTGGCACTGGCATATTTTGCCTATGAAGACCTGGCTGAGAAACTGCTGGAGTTGGACTTGGAATATTTTGAAGAAGCTGCCAACTTTCTACTAGCTCATCCCAAGGTATTTAAAGTACTTTTCATTTTATCTTACAAAATTACAGGGGGGAAATAATCACCAAAGTCTGCTATTTTTTTTTTTAAATCAGTCTGTGTAGACTTGGGTACAGCACAACTTACATTTAAATAATGATTATAATGACTTTGTAGGATTGTTGAGTTGATTAGCAATTAGTGTTTACTGGCATATCAATAAATGGATACATTATGATTCTTTTCAGCAGAAAAAGCCAAGTTTCCTTACATTTGAAGTGCTTGTAACTTATTCATAAGTGGCTCTTTAATGTTTTATCAGTCACTAATCTCAAATGGTAAATTCTCTGGCTTGACATGTTTTCAAACTTCAGTGATTATCTCTGCATGGGGTAATGCTAGTGTAGGTCCAACTGAAGGGTCCTGAGACTAAGAACAATGTAGAAATTCAATATTCAAATTGAAGCATACGATTAGAGCAGGAATACCAGCAAAAACTGATTTGGCTGCAACAATTAATTAGCTGAATTTAGTTAGTTTCAGAGGTGGGGGTACAGAACTGTGTTTAAGGTAAATGTCCAATGCCAGAAGCCAGGATTGCAAAGGAATTTGAAAAGGAAGTGTCATTTTTAACTCTTTGTTAAGTATCATTGTGCTAATGAAAATGTGGCCCATGGTTCAGTGGCTCTGCATCACCTTTTAGAAATGCACACTGTCATTCCCTATTTCTGAATCAACATCTGCACGTTAATAGCATCTTCAGGTGATTCTTAGGCACATTAAATTCTGAGCACCAGAATAGTACATCTTGTAACCCAGCTTTTTCTAGGAATTAAGTTGAATTATGATGTAGTTGTCTTGAGGAGATTCCAAAGGACTGATATTTACTAGCATATAGTAAATTCTCAACAAATTCATTTGTCATCTTTGCGCATCCAGTTTCCTCCCCCTTTCCCTAAAATTTCAACCCCATTCTGAGTGTTTTAGGTTCTGTCTTAAATCTTTCTCAATACAGCACAACTTCTTCATCCTCTCTGCAGCTACATAAGTTCCTTCCCTCATCGTTGCTCACCTGTGACACCATAGTTGTGTATCAATCAGTTTCCTATCTCCAGGCACAGCCCTCCTCTCTCACACCCCCATCTGTTCTTCACATGGACACATCCCAAATGTAGATTTCTTTGAGGACATTTTTCAGTATCACATTCTTGCCCCACTCAGACCTATTGAGCAGACATCTGAAAAATTGGATCCCTAATAAGGAAAAAAAGTTCAGGTGATTCTGAAGACAGAATGGGATTGAGTGTGCTATTGTGAGAAAAATAAACAAGCAGGTCTCTCTGTGCTTGATATTGTCTGTCCAAAATGCCCCTCCCTTCCTCCCTTGCCTTTCAGGGTTCTTCCCTCTCATGGGCATCTTCAATAGACCAGGGAATTAAGGACTCCCTTCTGTAGTCCACTATAATTTTCTTTTACTGGGTATGGTAATCTGGTGTTCATGGAGGGCAAGCCTTTCATCTGTACATTTTCAATACTTTCAGAGTTATCTCTTGGATTAATGTAATAATGCATTACATTAATTCATTAAGTTTACAGCTATTAAGTTTTGGCATAACTTAATAGCTGTAACATGCTATTTATTTATGATTTAGTTAGTTATTGGGGCACGGGGGATTAAACTCAGGGGCTCTCAACCTCTGAGCCACATCCCCAGCCCTATTTTGTACTTTATTTAGAGACAGGGTCTCACTAAGTTGCTTAGTGCTTCATTTTTGCTGAGGCTGGCTTTGAACTCTGGATCCTCCTGTCTCAGCCTCCCAAGCCACTGGGATTACAGGTGTGAGCCACCATGCCCAGCACATGTTATTTAAATGGGAATTACACTTAGAATATTTGAGAGAACCTGACAAGCATCTTTTTCTAGCTAAAGGACAGGATGTAGTTAACAAAGCTTAACTGCTGTGTTCTGAGGCTCAGTGTTGCTGGACTCTGAGGGCATTTATAGAACTTGACCTTTGATRAAGTTTTTATTTTTATTGTTTCACTCCATCCTCATAACAACTCTATAAGGCAGGTGAAATTGTCTCCCCAACAAGACCATGAAGCTTAGAGAAGGTGAGACATTCTCCATGCCAGAAGCTGGGAGACCCAAGTGCCAGAACTCAGACTTTTTTGACTCTTTTCATTAGGCTGCTTTATTGACCTTCTTGAGTATGGGTTGTAATAGGTTTTCCTTTTGTTTTGTACTTAAGATCCAAAGGTCAGGAATTGGCGTGATCTCCGTGTCCAAAGGTGCAGAGGTTGGGCTGGCCATGGCCTGCTATCTGAAGCAGGTGGTAGCCACCGTCTGCATCAATGGGCCCAACGCTGTCTTGGATATCCCGCTCAGATACAGGGATCTTCTTATAATGCCCATGCACTTCCATAGGGATCGCATCCAGACCCATATCTCTGGGGCTGTGCACTTTCGCAATGGGAACAGAGACCCCCGGAATGAGCTGAACCAGCAGAGTGTGCTTCCTGTGGAAAAGGCCCAAGGTTGCATCCTCTTCATCGTAGGAGAGAATGATGAATGCTTGGATAGCTGAGCATACTCGGAGCAGGCCATGGAGCAGCTGAAGAGCCACGGCAGAAGCACTGGAAAGATGCTGGTGTACTCTGGGGCAGGCCACCTCATAGAGCTGCCCTATGCTCCCTTGTGCTTTGCATCCTGGAGTGCAGTGCTCCCCTGTCCTGTGCTCTGGGGAGGAGATCCTGTTGCCCATGCTGCAGCCCAGGAGCATTCCTGGGGAGAGATACAGAAATTCTCCAGGCAACACTTCAGAGGGACCAGAGGCAAACTCTAAGTAAAAGCTCCAGGAAGATGGGGTTGGGATGAAGAGGCTGGAATGGGGGCAGGCCAGGGACAGAATGCTAGAAGATAGGGAAGGGGGATTCTTCTGGTTTCTCTACATTTACAGCCATATTGAATCAACTGGATGGAAATTGAACAAAAATCAAAGACCAGGACACATGAATCTGAGAAGTTTAAATGTGCTTTGAATTTTTGTAAATTGAATCCCAGTTTGTATTGTGATACTTTTGCAAATTGAATAATTTTTATCTACATGCCCTCCCACCCCACTTAGGGATGGCTTATATCCAGGCATTGCTAATCTTTATGTATTCCCTGAAATTTTCTGTAATTCCTGTTACTAGTAGGAATACAATTTGTATTTAAACAATTTCGAGTTGGTTTCTGACACTTGCTATGAAAGTTCTAAAACCACGGTGCTTCCTGTAGATATTCAGTAGATATTTTTTAAAATTTAAAATACCATGTTAAAGTGCAATTATTCTCTCTATTCCATTTACTTACTACTATTTTAATCAGGATTAATATTGAATTTAATCAAGTGCCTTTTAGCATTTGTTGAAATTAAATGAGTTAATATATGTAAGGCTAAATAGAACAGTGCCTAGCACACAGCTATATCCATACCAGAGTTAACCATTATTAATTTCATAATGCTTTCCTCTTTCAATCTGTTAGTGTGGTGAATTGCATTCATTAATAAACTAATTTTGCTTGTTAATCTAATTTTAGTAGCTAAATTTCTCATATTGATTAACTTGGGTACTAAAATTTCTTTTGGAGCACATCTAATCATTTGTAGTATTTCAGAATTTCATTTATATTTTCTAGAACACTTTTTTCTCTTATAATTTTTCATATAGCCCCTGTTATTTATTTGCTTTCTCTTTTCTTTTAGTCTGGCTTGATGAATGTTATGGTTTGGATCTACCATGTTCCCAAAGGCCATGTGCTGGCTTTGTTGCCAGCCTGGGATGTTATTGAATGCTGGTAGAAAGAATATCCTACAAGGCAGCATACGGCAGATTGCCATATGGCCAAATGACCTTTGAAACCTTGAGCCAAAATAAATCTTTCCTTCTTTAAGTTTATTCCCTCAGGTAGTTTGTCAAAGCAATAAAAAGCTGACTAAGACACCAAATATTTGTCTATTTCATTTATCTTTTGAGGAGAAGCTTTGGTTTGTATGCTGATCAGGTCAAGTTAAGTGGAACTACAATTAAACAAATCAAATCAGATAGTGGGTCATTTTATGGAACAAGTAACCTCGTCTCTTCAACAAGTTAATTGAGAGAGAGAGAGAGAGAGAGAGAGAGAGAGAGAGAGAGAGAGAAGTGGCAGGTCAGGTTAATGAAATTAAATTCAGAGCTATGGATAAACAAATGGATAAACCAAATGCTGTATGTGGCCATGGTTTGAACAAAGTAACTGGAAAAAGAATTTGGGGGATATTTAAAATTTTATTTTTAATTGATAAATAATAATTGCATGCATTTATGGAGTACAATGTGATGTTTTGCTATATGTATACATGGACTGCTTATACCAAACTAGTTAACATACCTTTCACCTCACATACTTGTGTTTCTTTTTTCTTTTTTTTTTTTTTTATTTTTGCTAAGGTCTTTAATGGAAAAAAATGGGCAATATGAGAGAAATTGGACTCAAAAAAAGGAGATAAAACTTCCACCATGCGACCAGCACACTGGTTTCATTAATGAGATTCTTGGCATAAAAGTTAGCTAGCAGAGATSGAAATAAAACACACAGACTCAGTTACCTTTTTCTATGACCAGGTCTGAGATGGCTCCCCTCTCTGGCTCCCAACTCGAACCACCCGTAGAGCAGCAAGGATTACTCAGGGCTAGCAGGCCAGGGAGTAGCCTTTTATTGGAAAACAAGAAATTCAAGGGAGAAGTCCATCCAATGAAGGTTGAGGGGGGCCGCACTCCAAGCTCAGGGTCACTGATTGGCCCCCGGGGTCAGTGGTCAGTCACACCCCCACACGGACGGGTTCTCTCATCAGGAGAGGGCCGGGAAAGCTCCAACACAGCCAKAGTGCCTCACACCCAAATCGGGAGTCGCCCAGTCACGTGTGAGAATGGCTGTCCACAAAAACTCTAAAAAAAAAATTTAAAAAGCTGCAAATACAGGTTAATACATTTTAACTACAAATCTTGTGTAYTATTCTRTAACATACTTCTATGTATGAAATCATACTACAAACTAGATTTTGYGCACACACACACAAACATTAAATATAAGATTATGTCACCATATGGGAGAGTTGACTACAGATCAACAAATATAGAGAGAAAAATTAAATCTAACAAGAAGAGATATTTAACAGGGAGAAAAA